CCAGTATATGGACAGGGAGTGCGTGGAGGAAATGTTGGGAAACTTGAGTGTCTTTGTGAAGTGTGCAACACTTAGTTGTTTAATCAAGTGTTGCTTGCTCTTTGGGATATTTACTTCTTTTTAAAGATCTTACTGGGAATGATGTAAAGCTGATGGAGGATGAGGATGGGTAACAGGTAACTATCTCTGGGCTAGATAAATGTGCTATCGAGCTGGAAAAGCGTGTATAGGCCTAGTGGGATAGTACCATATATATGCAGCAGAAAAGTTGTGTGTGTGTGTCTGTGTGTATGTGTGTGTGTGTGTATATATATATATATATATGCCTTAAGAGCAGGAGGTAAAGAGAGGCTGGAGAAATGGAAAGCTACTGAAAGGCAAACAGAGCAACTAGGTAATAGGAGGCCAGGTAAATGAGAAACTTTAAAGATGGGAAGGTGGGATAGGAGATGGGGGGAAGGTAGATGGGTGTTTTGCTTTGGAGAACCCAGATAAGTTGAAGTCAGAATACAAACATCTTCACGTGCTGCCTATTTTTTTTTCAGTGGTGGCTCACTTTTCTTGATTTTTCACTAAGTAGCCTACCTGAAAACAACAACTAACCTGCTTATTTGGTGTCTGCTTATGTGACAATGATAATTTCAATTTTCTTGAGAAACTAGGGTGATAAAATAAATTAGTTGACTTATTTGACCACAAGTTTAGGAGTGCAGCAGGGATTATGTATTATCATTGAACCCACTAGTCTGCCTCAGAAAGACATCCATTGGAAGCTGGGTTAGATGGCTTTCTCACATGATTTTTTTCTTACAAGTACTGGTGTTGTTTACAAGTCCTCTTTCCTTCCAGTTGTCACTTCTGCATTCTTTATTTGTTTGAGGGGTGTGTGTTTGTTTTTGTCTCCCCCTATATAAACCTCCAGTTAGTCTTTCACTCTGGATGAATTTTAAATTTTCAGTGACAGTGTCCTTCAATTTCAGATTTGCCATTATTCTTCAGTATTGTTGAATATTTCATTATTCTTGTATTTGGTACAGAAAGGAAGGAGAGACTTTTCATTATGTCTTTTAAGTACTGCTCATTATATTGAATATCTTTGTAATATTTTCTTTGTAAGTAATCCTGTTATTTTCAAGCTCCATGTAATTTTTTTTCCAGATTTCTTGTAATATTTTTTCCTTCTATTTTAGTGTGTAATATATTAGACACTAATATAGCAGGCAGTGAAAATATCAAATATAACACTTTGTATGGGAGTAAATTACTGATTTATGGTATTGATGTTACAATAATTTCTGTGTGACACTTAATTCTATTTTTATGAATACTAGACATTTTATATGCATTTTGATATATCATCACATAATTGTCTACAATGTGCCTGCTCTCAGTTCTAGACTTGATGAAGTTGATTTAGATTTTGGTAATGTGTTTAGTTTCTATTTCTCCTTCAGCCTGGCTTTTTAGTTTAAGCAAATTTTCCATTAGCTTACCAAGGATGCTGCTTGTTTGAAATGCCTGAAAGTGGTCATGAACTTACTGTTCTCCAGAGTTTCAGCCTGTCCTTGCTTTTGAAGTGCAGTTAGATCTCAGTTAAGTATTTCATACCTTTTCAAGTAGCAGCATTAAGTGCTCTAACAGGTCACTTCCTTCAATAGTAAGGTCACTGTAAATTCTGGAACACACAGTATTTGTGCCTCAAACTTATTTGTTTAATTTCGTTCCTGCAAAGTGATGAGTATTACTTGGAATGCTATGCCAAACTATACTGATGTGGTTATTTTTAAGTGAAGTTTGCTGGCTCCAAAACACGGAAGTAAAATTCAAACAGACGTGAGTGCAGTTGGAATGAAATCCAGTTGTCTCTGTCAGTGGAGATAGTGTTTGGCAAGTACATCTGGATCCCAAAAGTGGTTCTGTTCTGTGATCCAGCCTTTGTGTAGAAAGAAATAAAAGGGACACTTGGAAAGTGTTGGGTTTCATTGTGTGGAGGCTTTCTCTTTGGTCCTTGCCAGATTTTCTCTTTCCCCTTTCTCTGTCTTAAGCCACACTTTCCTTTCCTATTTCCAAATGACTGAACTCAGGTTTGATGCCTGCCAGTGAAGGATTGTGCTTCAGTAAAGATCATCTTAAATACAGTTTTTGTCTGCCTATTGTCATCTTTAAATGCTATGTAATGCTCTCCACCTATTTAAAAACTGCACTTTCCACCACATTTTAAAATTTAAATGGCTTTTATATTTAAATTTCAGAGCACAGTAATGCTTCTGTTGTGTTAGAGCTAGGAGCAGGAGACAAAAAGAAAGCTGTATTCTGAATATTCCCACACATCTTTTCCCTCAAATGCTACAGCTGTTTTATTCTTTCATAAACCTTTAATCAGAGGATTTCAATACTTAATTACAAAAAAAAATATAAAATTAACCTTGCATCATTCCTTTGCTGTCAGCCAGTATTTTGCTTATTATGTGGATAAGCTAGGCATTAAGGGACTATGTGATTTTTGCAAAATGGCATGGCAAGCCACTGGCAGCCTCTAAGACTCCTGGTTTATAAGCCTGTAATCTTCTGACTTGACACTAACATTCTTTTCAGCTGGCAAATCCAGTGGAAACATCCTAAATCCTGATTGGGACTAAGTAAGAAAGTTACTGCATAAATGTGCTAATGCTGTTGTTATCAGTGTTGAGAAGACACTGATTAAAAAATTGAGTAAATATACAAAATAAAAGTGTGAGTGACTTAAGGATGTGCACACAAGGTGACTCCTCAGGGCCAACCACAGCAGTGTAAAGGAATGACTGGCATGTCCCTCAGCAGCTGTGGCCATAGGGGTGAAAGCTGACAGTACTTACCCTAACACCCCTCATTAGGCAAGAGTGAAGGTGACTCAGACAGACCTGGTAGAGTTTTCTCTTCCTCTTGCATGCACACAACTTTTTTTTGCTGTTACCCATATGGTTTTTGAGAGTCTTGAGCTTTGAAGTTAATGCTCTATAGTAAACATGAGGGAGATTATGCTTTCTCAAGTCTGTTTGTAAAAATTCAGCTGATACCACAACATTATTTGTGCTTGAATTGCCTTTTCAAGCTTTTTCTTTACAGCCAGTAGAGAGAGAAAAAATTATGCAAAGTGACTTACCCAGGAGCTTCTTTGTTTTTTCCAGACATATCAGTTGAACAAATAAAATAAAAAAATTACTTCTCTGGGAAGACTGTGCTCTCTTTATGTTATCCTGGTGTTTTTATAGGACTTCAGAAATTGGTGCCCTATCCAGTGACCTATGGTATCCATGTTATTCTGTGTGCAAGCGTACGTTGTATTTGTTGTGGAAAATGGCCTGTGATTCCCCAAGTTGTAGCTGGTGGGAACAGTCAGTTGAGTGAGCTCTGTGTATAACAGTGTGCAGAGCCAATTAATAAGCATTCCCTTTTTTTTTAGGTCTAAGCCCTTATTGTATAGCCTGTGAGTGTTTTGGGTTCCTCCGCCCACTGGTTCAGCTCTATTTGAAATGTTACCACGTTTCACAAATAAGCTACCGTTTTTTACACCTTGACAAATAATACTTAGGCAAAGTGAGATAGCACAGTGGTGTTAAAGCACTATAAAAGCAGTTGAGTTACGCAGACAAGAAACTAAACATTTCACTGAGATAGATTCAGTTTTAAATATAAGGTATATTTAAGGTAGAGGAACAAGCTCCCATTCTTTTAAATCAGACTTTAAAAGGTACCTTGGATAGTGACAAAGTTTTGTACCATTTTTCTAATGACTGAGATGTTGATTATAAACTAGAGATAAACCAGGAGAAACCAATTCATTGTTTTCCAAAACTGAGAGACAAAACTAAAATAATATGAGAGTAAATAGTATGTCTTGGGGTAGAGGTATTAAACTCAACATTTTAATGTTTTCCAGTGCAGCTAGCACAGGAAATGAAATACTTAAAAAATCTCTTTTACTTAGTATTTTGCTTAAACTAAGCAAATCTTCATGTGAGGGCACTGTACACCTTCTTTAAGAGTAGTGTAGGTACATAATCATTTAAGTCTGTTTGACATTAGTCATGCCACTGGGCTATGCTGTGACTACTCACATCTTCCTGCTTTCCAGTAGTCTTTTTCTCTCCTGAGGAAGCCGTGCCCAAATAAACTTTCACGCAACTTACCCCTGTACTGTATATCAAAAGAAATCTCACTTTTGATATTTCTTTGATTTAAGCAGTAGTAAAATACTACAGGAATGCATGCACATAATTTTATTTCTGTATTCAGTAGCTTAAATAATGTGGTTTAAGATTCCGTCTATCCTTCCCTCTTGCTTTCCCATAGTTGAGGGTGTAGCACGAGAGGATTCTTTTTTAGCAGGGGAAACTCAGTATGATTTTTTACATTGCTGCGATGTGCAGTGCAATCTGATGTTGCTTATGAAACAATAGTATGCAGTGTACATTTAACTGAAAATTTTAAACGAAGCTTTTGTCACTTAAGTTCAAGGTCGTGGATCTTGTGCATTTTCAAGGAAATTCTTGTAATGGGCTAAAACCATGTTTCACCTGCAGTCTGGCTCTTCATTAGCTGATCGGAGGGATTTGCGGCATTGGCAATAAGTTCTGCTGGTTGCTGGCTGCCTGCCAAGGCAGGGCTGCTGTTCAAGGCAGCAGGTCCCTGCCTCTCGCCAGCCTGAAAGGCACTGTGCTTTCAGGAAGAATGCAGTGCAGGGCTTTATGTTGAGTCAAAATCGACGGGCTGTCCTTGCTTTACTGAAACAATTGCGTGTTTATGGTTTTGTAGTACGTGATGTCATGAGGGTGTTGGCTTTTAGGAATTTCACTACTGAGGAAGCAGTTTGAAATGCAGGCAGAATCCTCAAGACCTTCGAATATGCACTTGGTTTCTTTTTAGTTAGCTTTGAACAAAGGTACAGATGGATACGTACGTACATTTTTTTTTTTTGTAAGGAATTAACATATGGAATATAGAAGCGCTTTAAGTGGATACAATACCTGAAGGCAATGTCGAGTCAGTCTGGATTTTCAAACTCTGTTCCTCTACCAGGATATCCATTCTACCAGGTGTCATGCAGGTATATCTTGTTTTAAGTTTCATCTTTTAATGCACTTGTATATAGAGCTGTAGCATGATGCTTGTATTAACAGATTTTTTGTTTCCATATCTTTGTTCTCTGAAAAAAATTATGATATTGGAGAATTAAGAAGCTGGAAACCATAAATACAGTTTTAGAATGCTTTGTGTCTGACCTTATAATTAAGTTCACATTTATTTAAGTCTAATGTTTTTTATTTCTAAACATACTAAATATTTTGAGAGGTTTTCTAACTGGAAAAATGAAGTTGTAACCTTGGAGATTTTTTTAAGTGAGTTGTGTGTTTGGATATTTCAGTTATTTATTAGGAACCAGATATCTACTGTTGAGAAATGGAAATTATACAGATTTCTAAACCATTATAATTTTAAGTCTTTTTGTGCATAATTAAGGTAAATAAACAAAAGTACTTACTGTCATTATGTTTTTAAGACAATTCACACAAAATGTGCACGTGTGGAAAGGTGATAAATGCCAGTGTTGTGGTAAAGCTTAATCGTACAAGCTTCTTACTGTTTTGTCTTTTTGACTCAACAGTCCTGTTCTGTTAAAAATCTTTGCTTCTGAAAGTGCTGTATAACAGTTTGCTAGTGAATGGTTTGGATTCTAAACATGAAATTACTCTTCCTGCTGTAGAAAACTGTAATATTGCATAATAATTAGAGGGAATGTGTTACAGTACTTCTGTGGCTGAAAGAGCTCAGGTTTCTGGCACACCTTAATACAGGAATGTAATCTCTGTTTATTGTGTCTAAATCTGAAGTCCCTGCCTCTCATGCTGCAACAGTAACAGAGGGAGGGGAAAATCTGAGTTAGGACAGGAGTTTTGTGCTATTACTCATCTTCCTGAAACACATATGAAGGGAAGGATAAGAGAATAAGTTAATTATTAACATATTCAGATCCAGAGAATGAACCTGACAAATAAACTTCATAAACTGCAGCATAGACAGTGGTATGGGTTAGTTTTGTAAGGCTGCAGTGATAGTCACTTATGAGTAGAAACAAAAGTGGTTTTGCACAGTGTTCATTTAAACACTTTTTTGTGTCTTTCTTGAAATAAATGCCTGCATTTATTTACATGTTTGTATCTCTGTAGCACTACCAAGGCTGTCTGCTCAAAGGTACCAGTAAGGTTTTATTGAAACTGGAGTTGGCCATTTAGAGGTCAACCACAGTGATTGCTTATGGTTGTTTGTCCTTTGGCCTAACTTTGGTGGATGCTGAAGTCCAGTAGCTTTTCTCCTTTCCCCCCCCTCCTTTTTTTGTGATAATAGGCATGAATAAACTGAAAATTAAAGACAACACAAATTCAGTAAATGGTGGTTGGTGTAAAAGCCTTCTCTTCCCATCAGTGTGTTAGGTTAGTCAAACACACAGCTTTTCACTGCTGCTCCTTGAGATCTGCATGACCAGAGCCACCACCCAACTCCCAGATTTCCACAGTGACCTTCTCAACTGAATGAAGGTCTTGTGAGCAGGTTCCAAGTCCTTGCCTTTCTGCTGTGAAAAGAGATAGATTGAAGTTCATGAACTTTTGGATCCCTGTGCCTTATCTGCATATTGGTTTTAATACACTCCTTTCTGTTTTTTCATTTTTTAAATAGTTATTCAGCCTTTCAATGAAGCCCGTGTTTAAGAATTTTCAGATAAGATAATTAGTTTCTGTGATACGCAACTGAGCGTATTAAAATCCTGTTTTATGTATGTAAAATTGGGTGGACTTACTTCCTTTCATGACTAAGTCATTCTGACTTTGCAACTCTTTTTGTTTCAGTATCTAAAAAGAGAAATTCTTTACATAGTGTACAATCACTGATAACTATGTAAAATTAGTATTCCTGCAGTTGTTTTAGAGCTCATCCTCGGTGCAGAATTTTCACTCAAAATAGTAACATACATCCATTTTTGTGTGGGGAGTAATGTACTTTACACAGACAGGGCTGAATTAGGGTCTTCATTCCACTCCAGCTGGCATATTCTGGTGAGTGAACTTTTTCCAGTAAAAGAAATAGACAGTGGGTCTACTGTTTATCATAACTTGTTTATGATCTCTATGGGTGGGAAGGTTAGACTACATTATGCTCAGTTTGGATCTTGGCAGAGACATTAACCTAATGTGGCTTGCAATTGGGATGTCATGGAAGTCCTGGACAGAGTTCTGGAGAAACTCTGTCTTCAGGAAACTTTTTGTCTTTTTTCTTGTAGTAAAGATTAATTTTCTAGAGATCAAGTTTCCATTGGGATTGCATGGTGTTCAGAATGGATTGTGTTTTGTTACCCATAAGGAGTAATAGTTTTGGAATAATATTTTTATGAAAGTGTGGTCTGAAGTATTGATGGCAGCCTGTTCTGGAAGAGGTGCACAGTCAGTATTTTGTTCATTCATGGTTTTCTAAGATTGCTTGGAACATTGTTTATCTTGGAGATGACCAAGATACAGTCTCCAAAACGAGGTCACTCAGGGTGGCGTGGCCTCTTGGTTGTCTGGATTATTGCGTAAATCAGGAGTACAATGTGGGCACTCTATTTTTGAGCCATATTGGAATTAATTTTTGGTATCCATGCAATTCGCAATTGGTGTTTCTTGGGAACTTTTTCATAGTTGAACAAAATTAGCAGATTATTATAATTTATTTTGAGTGTGATAAAAAATACCCTCTTGTTTCTTTTATAAGGGCACAACATAACGTCTGATCTAGATACTAGTTGTAGGAAATGCTCCACGTGATTGCAAAATGCTTCCTTGTAATGTATCATCTCTGTTCTGTTACAGATTTGGTATTTAATGTAATTCATCTACTTTAAGATAGGTAGCAGCAAATCTAAAATTAGTATTGGCTGTTAAACTTTAAATGATAGTCAAAACACACAAGTAAACCTGCCGTGTGCCATCACAGTGGCTAGAGTGGCATCAGCTGGGTACTTTTTCACCTGCTTAAGGTTTTAGTGTTGGGTTTTCTTTGTATGTCATATGGTGTAGAAGGAAGTCTGTTCAAAAGTCTTTGATAATGTTTGATTTTCATAAACCTAATCAGTAGAGATTAAGAACAAAGGCTGCACTCATGTCTTTTTCCCAGTTACCCTGGTATGGCAAGAGACCTTTATTGTAAGAACATTTGCTACCTCTCATTGCTTTAGGCTGCCAGACAAAAAGAGCGTAGTCTTGTGAGTATTTCTTTGGCAAAGAGAAGACGTCTAGTATCCTAGCCATGTTTGATGAGGGAAGCCAGAACTTTCAGCTCCGCTGGGATATTAGCAGATTGTAGCCATTTCAGAAAACAGTTGTTGTTTTTGTTTGCCTTAAAAATGTATGTTTAAACCCTTTGTTGAGTAGGAGGATGTTTTTTGAGTAAGAGGAGTTACATCTCTTTCCTCACATGGAGATGTGAGATAATACAAACCCCAGCCCTGTCTCAGCTATGGGACAATTTCTGGTGTTTCTGTGATGTAGCTGGAGTTTTGCTGGTGGACTGTGATACTCTTCATAGGAAGATTCCTCTTTAGAAAGAATCATCTTGTTTCTGACGCAAATGCGTAAGGGTAAAGGCATGGATGTTCTGCATAGCTGAGTGATTTTACCGTTTTCAATAGTTACGTTCAAAGTGGCAAAACAGTTTTTAGGGTTTATCAGGGCTGTCATAGTTCTTTGACCTAACCAATATCAGAACCTTCTGCATCCCTTTGTAATAATAGAATTTCTTCTTCTAGCAAGGTTGATGGAAACTGTGTTCACAGTGAGAAGTCTGCTGTTCAGATTAAGACGTCCTTGGAATTGCATATGCTATTTTACCTTTTCTATCTACTAATAAAGAAAGAAGAAAGAGCTATCCAGTGAAAACTTGTGATTTTGATAGTGAAAACTTGTAATTTTGTGAACTTAAGTCAATTGCATCTGTGCAGTTGATTCCAAATGCAGTAATGCAGATCCCACCCGGTCATAGCAGTATTGTAAGTAATCTATTATAACTGAAACTAGGCAGGGCTGATGTGTGGAAAGGGAAGAGATTTTGCAGCATTAAGCAACTACTTTTCTTTTGAGGAGGGAACTGCTACCCACTTCAAATGCTGGTCTTTTATTAGCATCCATTTCTTAAATTAAAAAAAAAAAAGCTGCTATATTTTGGACAGAGGAATAAATCTTGATCACCTCCATGTGTTAGAAGACAGTGAAGGCTTTTAAAGAAAAAAAATTACTGAATTTTCTTTGGAGCATAATCTGACAAGTTTGTAGTTTAAAGTGACAAGTTTAGCTAAACTAAAATCTTCGAGAAATAACGTGCCGAGGTAAATCGTTGTCAAGAATAACAAAAAATATATATAACAATATTTGCTTGTTTGGTAGTCAAAGTCCTGGGTGACTACTTAATATTGCTGTTCTGAATATTCAGCAGTATGCATGTGTATGACAGGGATTTAAAGTTGCATTTTTCTTGGAATAACTAAATCAGTTGAACAAAACTTCCTGTATTTTATTTTCTTTGTTGGTTCAGAACTATTCTCTTTTCCCTGTAGGGACAAGGAGAAAGGGAAGGGCAAAGTTTTTGACAAAATTGACAAAATGTATGCAAGAACATGGTGTGCTAAATTCGAGCTGCCCTTAGAAGCTGTTTCTCCATAGAACTTGATTTTTATATATGCCTGCAACAGAATGTAGCTTTCATGTTAGAAGAGGGAGATTGGTCTCTGCTTTTTGGAAGACTAATTCCTTCTTCAGGACTTAGGAAGAACTACTAAAGAAAGCTGGTGCTGTAGGAATATATTAAATTCAGGTTTAAGTAAGAGAGGGAATGATTAAAATCTGAAGAGGACAGTTTTATATATTTTATTTTCTGCAGTTTTTAAAATGTGGGCAGGCTATTTTTATATTAAAATGATTTAAACATGGTATATATAATTGCTTTATAGGTAAATGAAAAGATTGCTTTAAAGCGAAAAAATAACCCTTCTTTTTTTCAAGGGCCTCATGATTAGAATGT